AAACAATTTTATGGTTTTGACTTAAGTGGAATTAAAACGCTAATTTCAGAACATAAGGGATTTTAAAACCACATCATAGAGAGTCTCTTTTAGGAGTAAGTTGTGGGAGGGAAGTATATTTTTAAATGCTTAGCTTGGCTTCGAAAACCTATAGTTGGCTTCGAAGCCTGTTTTCTCCCAAGATCTTTGAAGTTTATGCCTCAAAAGGGAAAATAGATAAGGCTTGTTCTTTTCGAAGGTTCTATAAGTATTCTCCTAGACTATCTTTATACGGTAATGTTCTTCCAAAGAATCTTTAGAATGCCTATCTTGTTTAAAGTTGTGGATTCTAAAAGTAAGCACTACAAAACCAATACTTGGCCAAATAGTGAAGGAACCTAAAAAGACTCGCTCTTTAAGAGTAAGCAGTATAATTCCTAAGAGAAATTTCCATACTCCGAAGCATGTAGACCGTATTTCGAAGCAAAATAGTTAATTCGAAGTTGTTGGTTATATAGATTATGTTAACTATGTAATTGGAATGTAAAACTTAAGACAAAGTTTGTCTTTCTTAAGAGAAAATTTCACACTTTGAAAGTACTTAAGTTAAGCTTCGGAGCAAATTTGGTCGATTCGAAGCTCTTGTGAACATAGTAAGGAGCAAGGTCACATCAACCATACAATCAAACATGCAATTGGAACATAAAACCAGATCATGCCAAATTGAGTAAGAAAGAAAAACCCTAGTTTTATTGATATGTAAGTAATTACATTAGAAAAACCTACTTGGTTACAAATTCAATTTCATAATAATAAGGAATAGAAAGAGTAACAAGGTGATTAAATTTGACCCAACAATGTTCAATGAACTTATGTTCTTTCTTTATTCTATTTTCTATCCTATCAAAATTAGGTTGTTGTAGCTGGTATGCTCTTATTTGGTGAAAAAACTGTTCAGCTTTCACTTCGAATTCTGTCTCTTTCAAGCCTTGTTCCATTTTGTCCATATTTAAATCATCCCAGTACGCTGAATCCTTATTCTTAAAGTCATTATATTCTTCAATAAGGTTCTTTGTTTCGTACTGTGTCTGAATTCTGTTGGCTGTGATTTTGTCCAAAGAATCAATGGTAGCCAAAGAAATTTTATACCAAGAAAGAAGGAGTGGAAGTTGATCCAAAAAAGCTTGAAGCTCTGCCTGGGCAATGGGGTTGAGAACATGACCCCAAGTCATAACATCACAGGCCCATTAGAAGTTCTTAAGAGGAATCTCATCTCTAAGAACATTGAAAGACAAGTGAGAGAAGGCAGCAAGCAAAAGTTGAGCTTGGTATCGCTCAAATGCAGTTGGAACAGTTGGAGGTTGGTAGGAAGGTAAAAAGTAATTCTCAAAAAGAGTAAGTTTCAATTCTTCCATCCAATGAGGATTCTGAGGGAGAGGAGGTGCAGAGGGATCCATTCCGAAGAAAGAAGGGAATTGGGGGTTATTTACGCATTCGAGCCAGTCAGAAGAGCAAAGTTTTGCCTTCTTAGTCAAGAATGACGGATTGTATCCCTGTGCTTCGTCTGGATGAAGAGTTTCTCGCATTATCTTCGCTGGCATGGAGGATATGTACCACGCCACAAGCAAGTTGTCCTCCAGACTGCGTCGGTAATCAATGGATACATAGGGGTAAACCACTGAGCTCCTAGCAGAAGGGGGAATAGAAAGGGGATCATCGAATTCAACAAATTGATGGTGAATCTGCTCCCTTAATTTGGGTTCATCAGGTTTTGACCAACTTTCCCAGCCAGTAGACCTGGAGGAAGAAGAAGCAACTGTGTCCCATGCAAAGAGTGGTGGGGCAGAAAAGGAGCTTCTAAGATCCATTTTTGCAAATGCTTGGTCCAAGGGTTTGTAGTTGGCAGCTTTTTGGTCTAAAGGTTGGTAATTTGTAAAAGCTTCCATGACTTGTATAAATGAAGGCGGATAGATATAACCAATAAATGCATTTAGGTTCTGTCGAGGCCTGCAATCATCTTCCAAAGACTCCTTGTGTGCTCGATCAATGTAAGAAAAGGTGTGATTAACCATTGGAGATGTACCAGTCTTTTCGCCTACTTAAAGAATGGAAGTGCAAAGCATAAGGATTTAATGAAGTTCACTGCTTCATTATTCAAAAAATGGTTATACTCCCAAAATATATAGAGTCCATGCACGTCCTAGAACGTGGGTAGATTGCACTAGTTCACTAATATCACCAAGTATTGGGTATATTAGTGTGGGGGGTAATGTTGGCTGTATAATTTGTAAAAGCCAATCACAATTTAACATGTGGCATGAATAGGGCAATTTAGGGAGTTAAAATGTGACACCCTAATTGTTTAATTAATTTACAAAATAATAATAATAATAATAAATAAAATAAAAATAATAAAATAAAAATACTAGGAAAACATTTAAATGACATGTGCTAAAATAATCTAATAGTTTAGTTATGTTAGAATTTGGGCCCAAAGATAAATAAATAAATAAATAAACTGTTTAAACTTATCCATTTGGGATAAGTTAATATCTGAGGGATACCTTCTAGAGCATCATAATGGCTTAGTTTAGGCAACGTGTCACCCTAAGAACGTGCTAGGCAAGTTTGAGGCTTAGTATAAAAAGGAGAGTTACAGTGAATAGGAGATCAAGAAAAAAACACAAAACAAATGTAATCGGGAGAGAGTCAGCTTGCAGTGAAGGGAGCACGAATAGAAATTACTATTTAAGTGAGTTATATTATACCTTGAGCTACCATAATATGTTTTATATACGTCTTGAGTTACCATAATATGTTTTAAGAATATTTTGAGTTACCATAAATTTGTTTTATATAATTTATACTTTATGGTTATGTTAATGTTTCAATTACGTAGATTATTTTCTGAACTCTATTTGCTTAAATTAAAACCCATAAATATGTTTGTTTGAATTTTAGAAAATATTTGACAATGATTTTATAAACTTTTGTTTTGAATAAGTACCACCACGGAGGTCCCATGCCTTGGGGACTTAAATAATCATTGGCCCTCTGAATTGTCACTTTAGTGACCCTCTGACAGTCCCATCCGTTGGGAGACTTAAATACCTTTGCCCCTTTGATTAGTCACTTCAGGACCCTCTGTCTGTCATGGATCCATTGACCCTCTGTTCTATTCTGTATTGTGATTATGATTATTTTGTTTATATAATTTTGTGTAATTAAAAATAATTTATTTGAACCAAACTATTCATCATTTAGCTTAAATAATTATCCATGGTGATTTTGTATCCACATGCTTTTAGTATAATATTTATCACTCTGCCATGTGCTTATAGCTGTTGAAACCCCTTTCAGGTGAAGAAATTTAAAGAATTATAGTTTTACTCTATGGATCAGAACTTCAAATTTGTTATGGATATCATGTTTTTTTTTCTTGTAATCATTATCTGACTGATGTTACATCGTTACATAAATAATAATTTTTATGTACGCTTCAGATATTTATCTACATCTTTTATTTTAATCCGCTGCATTATTTAATTTAATTACTTGGAATTAATTTAAGAAATTTTAGAATTAGCTAGTTGTGAATCCAGCCCTGGTCATTGGGATGGGTCGTGACAAATACAAGTTGCCAATCAAAGTCAGACACGTGTCAGTTCGTATTGGTAATAATGGGTCTGCATAGCACTGAAAAAATCGAGAAATACAAGATGAAGTGGCCTAACGGTTACTCATGAAGTTTAAATTCAAAATCAGGAGGGAAGCCTAACTGCAAGAGTGGCGTAGTGAGACTGACTGTGAGCGAGTATATTCAGCAATTATGGGAGGACATTTCGATGGTTGGAAGCCCACTTTGACGGTTACCACTGGAAAGTATAAATAGCAAGGAATGCCTCAGGGTAGAGCCTCCGGACTCAAATCAAAAAATCAGTTTATTTACTTTATTTTTCCTTCTAGTTTTACAGTTCTTTATATTTCTGCACTTCAATTCCTGTACTGCACTTCATTTCCTAAGAGTAGTTTCAAATAGTTTGTTGCTATGAACCTCTACGAGGCTGGGTCAGATCATTGTAAGTTTTCATTTATTTAATGAAATTTAGATTCTAAAATTGTTCTTTACTTGTTGTTATTTACTACTTTTTCCTAAACAAGCCACAAGTAAAAGTCCTCTTCATTGAGGCTGAAAGAATTATAACACAATCGTCTGATAATTGGTTGACAATTAATATTTTGTAAGGACTAATTGATCCTTACTGACACGCTCAAATATATATTATTAATTTTCGAAAGCCAAAAAGCAACACAAACTTAAAAAAAAAAAAAAAAACACTTGGTTCCAAAACCAACAAAAAAAAAAAAAGAAAAGAAAGGGAGATTTACGTGTATGTCACATGATAATTAATGACATTTTTTATTAAACACTATTAAAAAAGTCACTAATTATTAATTTTCAACAATAATTTAAAAAATTTGTCACAAAAATGTCATTAATGATAAATTTTAATGACAGTTTATAAAATTCGTCACAAAAAAAAAATATTGAGTTCCAACTTTCAACAACACTTTAAAAATTTTGTAATAGAAAAAGTTACTAATTGTAAATTTTAGTGACAATTTATAAAATTCGTGACCAAAAAAAGTCATTAATTGCCAATTTTTAACGATATATGCAAAAAATAGTTATAGAAAAATATTTTTAACAACAATTTTATTAAGATTTATTTTCAATACGACTTGATGAGAATTAAATTTAACTATTAAGACTTATTAATAATTTACACACACACAAAAAAGAAAAAAAAACAAAAAAAAACCTTAGATCCGAGGAAACAAGAGTTGAGACACTGCTGAGAGACTAGGGTAGGGTTGAAAAGAGCAATATATACATCAAATAAACCAGCTTTGACTCAAACCACAAACTTTTACAACCAAACCAAACCAAACCAAACTGTACGGACCAGATTACTGCTTCAGCCAGGTCTCTTGAACAGCCTTAAACAACTCATAAGCAGTAATGAGAAAAGCAGACGATGAAAATATATACATACAAATGCAGACTAACATGCTCCAGTGAGTTGCCAGATAAAGTGCTGATATGTTTTAGATAGCAATACATGGTCGATCCATGCCCAGACATCCAGTGAAAAGGCAAAAGCCTAACAGAGAGTACTTGATCCATGCCCAGACATCCAATGAAAAGGCAAAAGCCTAACAGAGAGTACTTGTACATACGATATCCTCCACATATTCACCCAATTAGAATTCCAAGCTTAATACAAACATGTTTTTGATTTATAAAACAGTTTGCAATGGAACAAGAAGTAGCTCAAGGGCTTAATAGCGGTACTTAGTGGAGTAGTCTTTGGGTGCAATGACCAGACCACGTCCCTTCCTGGCCCCACGATACACTGTTTCGACAATGTCGATGAACTCCTGCTTGTCCTTTAAAGCCCAGTTGATCTTGTTGTTGTTTCCGGTGCCAAGATCAATCATTATGTGTTTGTTCCTGAAAAAGAACATCACCGTTGATGGGTCATACAGCTCATACATTGTATTGAAGTCGGGCACCTCTGTGATGTTCACCAGGTATATAACCGCAAAGTTCTTTGTTGTCTCAGCAACCGAAGCCAGTACCTCATCCATCTACAAAACCCAACACACAGGCGCGAGCGCGCGCACATACACACACAAAAGTCATACAACAGATACTAGTCGATGCCAAATACAAGACAAGTAAAAGTATTATATAAAGGAAAATTCTATTCTTGCATAAAATTCATACAAAAAACTTGACAAGAATAACGTGACAATGCCATTATTGTAATAAATTCATCTTCAATGGTGTTTTGTTTTGAAGTGAAAGGTCCATATATGTATGAAAATTATGTATGAATTTTTTATTTGTATAGCATTACTCTTACATAAATACAAAAAAAAATAGAACAAAAACAAATACCAGAAAAACAGAAAGGAAAATGAAAAGAGAGAGAGTAACACAAATCAATGATTCCACAGCAGGCGAGTTGGACAAGAAAGAAAAACAATTCTGAAGCAGATGGTAAAACATACAAAAACCTAATACTTTTCAAAAGCCTACTCATAAATCATCTTATCAACAAGCACTACAAAGTTTTGAAAAGAAAAAAGAACAGGGGCACTCCTTGAAAAACAAATGATCCACTTAAATATTAAAAGGGGATCATCCACGCACAAAATTACAAGGATCCAATAGCACAATCTGTGTGCACTGTTATCTTCATGTTTTCATTTTGTTAACATTCTGATAAGTAAACAATTTAATGGCCAAAAGCCTAAAACTAAAGATTCAGTCTAGGTGAGAGTTTGAGACCTGGACTATCCAAACAAATGCATGAACATCTAGCTTCTTATGTGAAGATAATCTCTATCAGGTTGCCAGATTAACTTCGTAACAACCTCGCACTGGAGGCAAATGGTGGCTACTACATGCTGATTGGCCTACGTTCTAAGCTATCACAAAGTTGAGTACCTTTTCCTAGATGGATAAAGAATGCTCTGTTAACAAAATAAGCTACAAGCACAGTACTTTTTTTCACAAAACAGAAGCTCAAAACCAACACTTCTGTAAAACAAACCGAACAACAAACAACACAGACAATGGAATAGCATTAGCATTTTAATTAATTTGATTCCCCAATGAAGCGAAATCACACATCACCTGAGTACTAAAATAATATTAAGCACATAAACGTGAGGGCACTCTCACCTTAATAGCTAGCTTTTGGGGTAAGTTCTACCCAAGACCGTGTAACATAGTATGAGAGCCAGAGAAATCAGAGATGAGTCGGGTGCGTCTCCCTGGCCTACATGCCGTAGGTGCTGCCAAGTAAGGACGCTGAGCGTGAGGGAAGGTGTGAAGCGAAGTCCCACATTGCCTGAGTACTAAAGTAATATTAAGCATTTAAACGTGAGGACACTCTCACCTTAATAGCTAACTTTTGGGGTGCATTCCATTGAACTTGATAAATGCCACCAATGAAGCACAGACACCTCTCTGGAGGTTTTTGGAGGTCACATACCAGTGTTTGACATGAGTCGTACACAAGGTTGTTAAAATCGGGATCCTACGTTGGATCGTTGGAGGTGTTTATAGGATCGGATCGTAGAATCGGATCGAGGATCGTAAGATCCTACCGAAAAAGACAAATTACATAATAATTTAATTTAAATAAATATTTCTTATAAAGTATACACAAAATAAGCCTATATTCTATTAAAAAGAAGTAAAGATATTGTGAAAAATATAATACTCTATATAAAATGTACATATAATATTATGCAATAGAAAACTCAATGGTAAAAGTTTTGTATTTCATCAAAAAAGAAGGTGAAGAAGAAGAATTCTATAACAAAATACTTTGCAATCTACAATAATACATAAAAAGTGAAGAAAAAATATTTAACAAAGTTGGATATGAAAATAAATTAAGAACTCAAAAGAGTAGCTTAGTCGAATGATAAGGTTTGTCGTTTGCATCCCTGGTGGAGCGGATTCGAGCTACAAAAATAATTTCTTCAAAAATTGGGATAAAGTTTCAATCATCTTACCCTCCTTTAGACTCCGCTAAAGCTAAGTTTGTTTTTCCGACTATTTAATTTTCTTAAATTACTGCAATATTTGAATGTTTGTTTCCTAGTTTGTTGTTTTTAGTCTATTTGATTCAATACTACTTAATTTTTATTATTTATTTTGACCACATAAATTGGTATTTAGACAACAAATATAAAATTTACAATAAAATATGTCATACAATACAAAATAAGGCTTGTAAATTGGATCGGATAGGATCGGATTCGGATCGGGATTCCATGATCCTATAAGATCCCACTACCAGGATCGAAAGATCCTACCTCTAAGGAGATTTTTACACGATCCGGATCGATTGTACTCAAATAGATCGTAAGATCGTAGGATCGTAAGATCCGGATCGGAATTCTGATAACCATGGTCGTACACAGACATCACAGACATGGTCTAAACACATGTCAGACATGTTGAAGGAGTCGAATACGTTCGGCACACATTGAGGACATAGAATAAATATATAATATTAAAAAATATAATATATAATAAATATATAAATTTTGTGTTTTGTATGTGTCCTTGGTGTGTCATGTACTATATTTTTTTGAAAATTTGCATATTCACATGTCCATGTCGTGTCACATGTCCACATATCCGTGCTTCTTAGAATGACATGCATGACAATGGCTGAGGACATGACACATCCAGACGGCAAAAACTTGAAGGTCAAGCATGCATATTGCTGGAACTAATTGAGGCCTGACTAGAGTTATTGTAACAATTAATCCCTAGGATAGCCAAATAATCCTATCTTTCATAATTATTATCAGATATTTGACCAAGAAATTATTCAATTTGATCATCCCAATTATCCGCACCTAGAAAGTTAGATAGGAGACACTACTTTGGGTGCTGAAGGCAAGCCTGGATTGTTAGATTGAGGTTATTCCAAATTGGTTCAAGTGCAAAGATTAAGGTGAAAAAAGGTTAAGAGACAAATTGTGGGTTCACATAACCATCTCATAGAATAATTTCTCCCAACCAAAGAGATCTAACAAGCATAAAGTTAAACAGGAAACTCTAAAGAAACAACACCAACTCTATAAGAAATAAGTTCCAACCCCTTGAATATTGACAAGAAAAAGAATAGAAAAAAGCACTGCAACAAGAAAGCACCCACAAATCCAACAAGCTAACAAATTCTCAAACCGCACTAATTTTCTATTACAGCATTTAAATAAAATTCATCGAGTCTGTAAGAAAAATTGATAGAGAGAGAATAAATTGTGTATATATTGATGTTATTGATTGTTGTGTTTTATTACAAATCAGAGTAGCTCATTATATAGGAGAGGGTTTGGGTAGTAGGTGAGGAGTAGGAGTCAAAATCAAAAGCTACAGAATCAAAGCTTGATTAAACTACAGATTTATTATCTATTAATTTTAAATTCTTAGGAAAGATTTGGACATGAAACCAACCCAAACCCAAACCCGCACAGACCATCCAGCACCTAAGGCTAAGTGCAACAATACATCAAAGTTATTTAACCAACTAAACAGCACAATAAACGCAAACCTGCTCACCACAAACTTTGGAAAGAAATGATAAACTACTTCAACACATTCAAACCGATTGTAAGAGGGGCTAATTTGAGCCCATTAAATTAATTAGGCCAACTATATAAAGCCAAAAATACATATGATCAATTTAGGAAACCCCAACCATCTACAAATTATCTTCGAAGTTATATAATGAGATGAGAGAGTATGGCTATTAAAAGGAAAAAGTTGGTCAGTTGAACAAACCATGCTATATTGCACTGTTCTTTAACCAACTATAAATTAGGCCATTTAACATCTAACAAATATTCTGAGCATGATAAAGAGAAGAAACATCTTCCTCTCTAGCAATAAACATCTGATACCCACAGCAATAGTATAATCCCAAGGGCAGAAAAGTTTATGACCAAGGAAACTCTATCTAAAAGAACAAGTACTCTTACAAGTAAGTTTAGATGGGACTCTATTGGTCATGATCTCCTTCACACTGCTATAGTTTCAATGACTCCAATGATCATGATCTCCTTCACACACTACCATAGCCTCAATGATTCAAATTCAATCATCTTTTTTGCAGTTTAGACAATTCACTCAGTGCAATCAACTAGAAATTTGACCACATTCAAGATAAGTTGGGATGCCACCAATAGTCTAACCAAGTTAGAAGCTGTCTTAGCTTTATCAAAACTTTCAATGGTACCACCAATTAACTAGGACCACATATATGACAACTAGATATATTAGTTGTCAAAGAATTAATCAACAAATTAGGTAGATGAATGCATACATTATGATAATTATGACCCAAAAAAAGAAAATTAAAAATTGTTCCAAGAACCAACGAGAGTGGAGGTACAAATATCCTCTGAAAGTATGACATAAGCATGGTTGTTAGAATCTTACGATTCATGATTCAATTCATACAATTCAATACAAATTTTGACCAAAATGATTCGATTCGCAAGGTTAGATGTTCAATTGAGTGAATTTTACAATTCAATAGAGATTCACTACAAGCCGTTACAATTCAATTTTGCTTGCATAATGCATGAAATGGATTTGCTTTCGCAAATAAAAAGAGATCAATTAATTAAATTGATATACATATATACAATTTAGTTAAATTAATATTTATTTAATTTTAAACACTGTGTGTGTACTTTTATACGTATATACACATAAAATTATAGATTATGCTGAATAAAGTGAATCTTACAATTCATGATTCCACATGATTCATGATTTACTATTTTAACAAAACAATTCATGATTTGATAACAATGTCACAAAAGTCACAAAATATAAGATCTTCCATGATATGAATGAGAATAATATGAGAATTCAGCCCCATTTGAGGGCTTTGGTCCTCGGTTAGTGCAGTTTTTAGTTTTTTTCTTTCTTTTGCCCCCCTTTTTTCTTTTTTTTGAAATTGCAGCATTTACCCATCAAGGTTGTCAGCAACTAGCTTCTCAAAAAGCAATGATGATGAAAACGTAATTATGACAATGGTAATAAGAAC